TTTTCCTTTTTTTTTTTTTTTTTTTTCCTCCCTCTCTCCTTGCCTTTAGAAACTGCTGTCCCTCTAGTGTAATGGGAGGAATACCCAGGACCAAAATTCACAGGGGGCAACTGCCCCCGCTAGACCCAGGGTGGTTCGGCCTATGTTTCGTGGGTACCCATTTTGAATCAGTTTTCTGGAAAACCCTAACGAAGCCCTACCATGGGCACCACTTTAAAATTGTTTTAAGTTTTTCACCTTGCCGAGGTGTGATTGAGAAAAAATTGCAATTCTAATTTCAGGGTCTGGAGTTCACCATTTGAAGAATTGAAATGAAGAAACCCGAGTCTGCAGTTGCTACTTCGAATAAGATCAAATTCGATGACGGGGACAGCCACGAATCTTCATCCGAAGAGGCATGTATTTTGGCTACAATCTGTCTATATCTCAACTTGCGATTCCTTCAGCGCTCAAATCTTGTTATTTCAACCTTTATCTATTAGCTATATGGACAAGCGAGCATGCAAAAGTAAAAATGGGAAATTTGTGTGCATGTACGGGTTGCTTGCAAATCCATGTTCAATTTATGAATTCCATGCTTATCTTGTGTGTTTGTTTTGTTTTACTCTTAATTTGCATGAAGCTGAAATTGCTAGTAAACAACAATATTCCTAGTACATCCTAGAATAATGAGCAAAATGAATCAATCTATTGTGGATCAGTTTTTTCACAACTAGTTCCATAGTAGCAAGGAAAAAGATTGAGAAATATAAAATTATGATTTAATTTGTTCTCAAAACGGCCATGAAATGATAATCTCAACATGCTCTTGGTCAAGGATGCTACCTGTACACACTAGTTTGAAGGATCAGAACCTAGTTTGTAACATTTAAATTGAAAATAACTGATCCCTCTCGAGTGACAAACTAAGGAACTTGATGACCTTTTGAATTAATAATATGAAACTGAAGTCAATTGAGTTTAAGATATATTGAATGGGGATTCTTTTGTTTACCTTACGTAATTGCACGAAATACTACTTTATTTTCTTCCTGAAGATTAAATTCAAGTTATTAAAATTTCTTTTTGATATATTTTCATTTCCAAGATGGTGTTCTGTGTACTTATTTTCTACAATAGTAATTTATTTTCATTCTTTTTATCTAATGAAGAGTGGATATACAGTCTGCATAAACTCTGTATTTTCTAATTATTCCTAGATATACTTTTATTTAACAAATTATTTAAATTAATCAACCTAAGATTTATATCATTTTAAGAAACTCTGGATTTTCTAATGATTCCTAGATATACTTTCGTATATTTCCGGTAAAGCATATGCTTATAGCATACTAAAATTTAGTTTGAATAGGAGGAAGAGATTGAGCGTGAGCTTGCTGATGTGACATTTGAAGAGCTCTTGAGAGCACGGTCTGATGGATCGGAGATGGTGTACAGGAAGTCCAACGCAGAGAAAAAGAGCAGTCGAGCAAATAAGAACAGGTATTTTCTTCTCTTGATCGTTTGAATATTTTATTTTCATGATTTTGTGATATTATTTGCTAATTTTTAGTTATGGTAATTGTTAAGGCCTATGGAGATGAGCAGCAAGAAGCCGGTCAGCAGATTCAGAGAAGTCATCCAAGTTCCTAAAAGAGTGGGTTTTATTTTCTTTTCTTTTGATTTTCCCATGCAATTGATAGAATCTCGCATCTAAACATTTGTATTCAATATTACTGATATTTAAGGATGTAAAAGTTGTAATAGTGAAATATTGTGAGAGTGGTTGGTTTATGTGACTTTTTTGAGAACCCTTGCACTGTACCACACAACCTCATTAGGCCCTGTTATTAGTTTTAGTTGCATATTGCTTATGTTTCTTGTTGTATTTCATTTATTTACTGTTTTTTTCATAGTTCACTGTCACTTGGTCTTGCTCAAGATCTTCTCATCGTATAGAATTCCTCAGCTTATGTATTAAATGGGTATGATGTGGATTTGCAAGTTTTCTTTTCTCTTTTTGGCGAAACCATTCAGTATGTATGCTATGAACAACAACTATCTTTGATGCACATTCTAATCATCTTTAGATGAAATAGCAAAACAAGAATTACTTTTATCATTTTATGTATTCTGTTATCCCGTCTTTGCAAAAGTGGTTCTGGTTTAAATTGCTTTGCACTCTATTTCAGGTGGGACGTGATCCTCGTTTTGAATCATTGTGTGGCAAACTTGATGTTGAGGGGTAAGCTTCCTTTCCTCAGACACCCCTACTTTGACTATGTGTGGGATTTGTATATGTGCATCTGCACACATGGAACGATTTTGATTGATATGATTATGATTCTTATATGTTTGATGGTTCGCCGGTATTTGATCGTGATAGTAGAAGGCGTAGATCAACGAAGTTGTTGCCTCTTAGAAAAGAGTGGTAGTTTGCACTAAAAGCTTAATCAATAAATCTCGTATATTTTTTGTTAATCTTTTTCTCCAATCTTCTTAAATCAACTTTGCTTCCTTTTTCCTTTCAATTTACTTAATAAGGTTCCTTCGAAGGCTTAGTAGAGCCTTATGCTTCATCACTGGTTCATATAAGGATGGCATTAATGAACTCTAGTAAGTGTCCAAACCTCCAGAGCATTGTCCCTGATATACGTGCCATGGTCAACTGGAGCAATGAAGCACACCTTGTCTTTTCTTACACTGCCTGTTTGTCTGGAAATTGTGAAGAAAGTAGAAAGTAAGAAGAAAACATGCAGTAAATATTTCTTCTAATGGTTCTAACGTTCGGTGCCCTTGTGCACATATCAAAAGGAGCATTGATGCTCTACTTGTTGTCCCTACGTCCTTTGTTAATCACGTAAGAGTAATAGCTAAGTGGAAGCTTCAAATTGGTTTGTTGGGTTGCAATAAGACAACCTATTGAACCCCTTTGCCATTGCTTCCAGTATTACCTCAAATACTGAAAAAAGTGCAAATTCTTATCTGAGTAGATGGTTAAACTAATGCAATCATTTATTTTTCTTGCTATTTTCCTTCTGCTCTCACTTCATTGTTATTTTAGTCCAGCAAACACTTTACAATAGTTGATGGGCAAAGGTAAAGGCACAAGGACGCTATGCCCGTTGTCTGGTTGCTTAGTATGCTATTAGTGCCTGTGAGCTTGGCTGGCTTGAAAAAGAAGAATTTCTGATTTCCACCTGATTTTCTGAGCATTTATCTGTGATACAGCTTGGTTTTTGTTGTATGAAGTGTGCTCTGGATGTGCAGGTTTAAGAAGAGATATGATTTTATCCAAAAGAATGAATTGCCTGCTGAGAAAGAGGTAGCGTTTCCATATTCTAAATAATTATATAATTCTGCTTTTATTTCAGCCAAATTGATTACTCTGGTTGGCAACTATAGGCACTAAAGAAAAAGATGAAAGAAGAAAAAGACCCAGAAGTCATAAATGAGCTCAAGGATCGTATGGTTCAGATTGTAAGTGCTTTTACTATGAATGGATTTTCAGCTAGATTCCTTTAGACTCTGAGAGGTGTGTGTATAGGTTGTATACAGGGTTTTACTCCCCTTTTGATCTATCAACTGGGAAATTGTACCATTGGTCCCCAACCTATTGCCCTTGTAGCAAGTTGTTCCCTAATCTTTAAAAGTGATTAAGTTGGTCCTCAATCTTTCCTTGTATTTGAATACCAGTCTTTTGCAGTAGAAACCATCCAAATTAAATTGTCACGTGGGCTTCGGATGTCCAACTTGATGGAGCTACGTTTGTTTCCGGACTTCCAACAGGTGCCCAAAAATTTGACGTGAGTCATGTTTCCATGAGGACTACATTTTGATTTGAAGAAGATTTAGATTGGACAGTTTCTATCAAATGTAACTAATTAATGAAAGGCTGGGGATAACGTGGTTGTTGGAACCAATGGTGCAAGATTCCGTATTGAAATTTTGTCTTGTTCCAAAAGAATGCACTTTCTCAAGTCAAAGCTGTTGTTATTGCTGCATAGATTCATATTCCTTAATGTGTGCTGGCACCTCATAAGAGATGTGATTGTCGTGTTCACTGTTCTTTTAAATTCTCTCACTTGCCAGGGTAGGGAATTGAAGTCTGCAGTAACAAAGCATACCAATAAGGAAATTATAGCTGAGCACAAGAAGAAAGAGAGAGAAGCTGCTAAGAAAGGGAAACGACCTTATTATCTGAAAAAATGTAACTCTCCTTGCTGTTCCCCGTCCTATTTTTATCTCTTCCATCAGTTGATTATGTTTTCGTTCAGTTTCTTGATAAGTCGTCATTCCTTATTTTTTCCCATCATTTATCTATTCTTGTTGTAATCTCAAAAAATTATCCAAAACACATTAATAAATGGCAAAATGGAAGAAGAGGATACGAAGACACAAATAACCTGAAAACATTCCAATCAAGCATTGATTAAATCATACATTATCTTTCTGCCTTGCAGCTGATATTAGGAAGCAAAAGCTTATCCAAAAGTATGAGGAACTCAAGGTACACGGTGTAGCAATTGTCACAATATGCTTATAAATTCTGTCTTAACTATAGTGTTCCTATCGTATAAATTTACTTCTATTATCTGTTAGGGGACTGGCAAACTCGAGTCTTTTCTTGACAAAAAAAGAAGGAAAAATGCTGCAAAAGACCACAGGTACATGCCATATCGACGTCCCGCAGAGCAATGAAGCGAATATCATTTATAGTTCTATTGGGGTTTGGGACTGTGCAAGCATATTTTGGTGGGCTGATCAGTGCAGACAGCTATACACCAAGATAATTAGGATGGCCAGTTCTGTGTTTAATGATGAACAGGTCTAAGAATCTGAAACTTTTTAGATTAAGCACATATAGGTCCAGGTGTTTAGCCTAATTTAGTTGTTCTGATTATAACGTTGGCCTTCTTCCTTTTCAATTAGTTTCATTCGTAACTTCGAGACAGTTGCATATTATGAGCATGTTTGGTAGGGATTGTAATCCAATTATTATCAATTTTTTGACCGTTATTTCACTATTCTAGCCGTTGTTTTTGAATTCTTCTCTTACAGGTAGGACTCACTTTATTTTTAACGGTCTAAAAATCGAATAACAAAATCCCTACCAAACAAGCACTAAATGTTTTTGAATATTTTAAGGGCATGTTTGATATGGCTTTGAGAAGCCAGGAGGAGCTTTTGCACTCGGCTGATTAATTTTATGACAAGTCTTTGTTATAGTTAGAAAAACTTTCAGAAAAAGCTGAACGAATGTAACTTTTACTAAAAGCTTCTTCGCAAGATAAATCTCTTTTAGTAATAGTTTTCAAATACAAATTAAGGTAGCTCTCCGAGGAAGCTTTTTTTTACAAAGAAAGTTATGTCAAACGGGTCCTGAATTGATTATTGTGTGAGATGAGATTAGATTATAAAATGAGATTCTACTGATTAATTACTTATGACACTATGATGATGATCTTTATGCCTATTTTGTACGATGACAAAATTTAATTTATTTAATTTGTGATTTTATAGCGTAATGCATGTTTTGTAATGAAACTAGGGCCATATCAAATAAATTGTAGATAAGCATAGATTTTGCGAGCAACTTTCATCGTGTGCTATGCCGATGAGGCACGATGAATCCATTTTCTTCGTTCGTCAAGTACCATTGGGTTGTTGATGAAAGATAGAATTGCTAGGCTTTATATTGATACAAGAGAAGGTAAAGAATCAAGGTCAATGGTCTAAGGCTTCGACCGTAAACTCTTGTTATAACGTGTGCCAATGATTTAGTCGACCTTTTGTGACGTTGTGTGGTTTACAGAAGAAATGCTTGCTTTTAACTGAACCGGTCTTGACCCGTAGATATTTTAAATGGACCTTCTAAAATGTATTTGCACATGCGATATTTCCTGACAGGCAATTTATGGAGGGAAAAAAAAAAAAAAAAAAAAAACCCTTGTCCAGCTTATGAAATGGAGAAAATTGATTCAACTTTTTTGAGAAACTGCCTTCCTGTCATTATTTTTAAACTTTTATTTTACCTATTATTTTTAGTGACAAATTTACATAAAAAAATATTCTTTACGTAAATTTAAAAATTATTCCTTACGCTTTAGTCATATATTTTTCTAAAAATCACCATTTAAAATTATATATATATTTTTAAATAATGATTGTCAAACAGGAGTTAAAGTGTTACCGAATATTAAAAGAAGAGATCTAAGAAATTCATAGTATAAAACGTGGAAATACTTGAATATTGAGATTGAGGTAACGAAGTCTAAATATTGACATTTTTTTGTTGTTATTTGATCAACTTGAGTTTCCCCCGTCATATGTATGATAAAGTTTTCTAGAATTATCACTTATTTTCTAGCTGGTTCTGTATTGGGGTGGGGATCAGCATAATGGAGCATCAAAAATAGATTATATAGTCGACTTCATATTAAGAGGGTGTTTGATATATATTTTTATGTAAAAATGAATTTTAGAATAGTAAATTAAAGGAGAATGTACTGATGAAAAATAAGGATTTTTTTGACTTACGTGTAATATTGTTTTAATGAAAAATGTGTGGTTAAAAAGAAGAGAAAAAAATTATATTTTGATAAAAATGAAAATCAAACAGGGTCTAAAATAATGACTTGATTGCTGGTCACTTAAAGAAGGTCATCCGTGATATAATTTTTTAGTTGTGAGGTTACTTACCTTGATACAAGAATCTAGCCATCTGATAAGGCAAAAATTTATAAAGTTACTATTTGGTATGGATTAAAATCAAAATTTTAATTGAAGTCAAAGTCAACTATTAATTTGAATTATGTATTTTATGGGATTGACGACTTTTTAGTTATATATTTAATGAATTTTTATCAAATTTACAAAAAAATCAGGAAAAAATATTGGCATTCCTCCCCCACCCCTTCCCCTGTTTTATTTATTTATTTATTTTGGCCACAATGGCGGAACTCTTACAAAGACATGAAAACTTTTTGCTCAGAAAATATAGGAGATGAAAGATTAGAAAGTAAACTAAAACAAACAAAATCTATAGATTGCTTATTTGACCTCGTTTTTTCAAAATTTATTTTCAACTCCATATTATTCGATAAAATAGTTTTACATTTAAATTCAAAACTTTTCCTTTTCTTTTTTAACTACAGTTTCTCCAAAAAAAAAAGAAAAAAAGAAGAAAAAGTTGTATTCTTGGAGAAGGGTGTGTTCATTTTTGTTATTAACGGTGTCCCCATTTTCTTGATGAGAGACGGATATTCTTGGAGAAGGGTGTGTTCATTCTTATGATTTGTCATTATCTAATAATTTATCACAATAGAAGATGTGTTATTGTTAGCGAGCCTACAAATTTGTATACGGTCATGGATTTGACGTTCATACAGGACATGTAGTGAAATTTATGTCGATGGTCGATAACTTTCGAAAAAGCCAAATATGGGGGTTGCACCAAAATTTTCAGCAAGATTGTTTGGGATGAACTGATTTGAAGTTCATAGAATATTTTGATTCTAAGTGTTTATACTCTTTATAGTGGAGTATTGATAGTATTCCATTTTGAGAATCGTTGTTGTAAAAGAAAAGTATACTAAAGTTTTTCAAGTAGCGTGACGAAGAAGGTTAAAGAGATGTGAACATGGAACAAGATGAAGGTACATTATTCAATTGGGACGAGACATAAAAAATCATTCAACAATTCAAAATCAAGGTGATGATTGTAGGGATTTTGACTTGGTATAGTCCAATTAGAACAAGATTTTCTTCTTCTATTTCACACTGAAAATGTTTTTAGTTTTCTACTTTAATGAGACTGTTTAGTATCCCACTTTGATTAGAAATTTGTAGTTACCTGATAATAATATTTGGGATGTGTTTGGGAATTGGGGTGTGTGAGAGATTCTACTTATGTCTATATAAAATTTTCATACAATCTAATATTTCTGTCTCTGATAGTCCTTTTTTTATTTTTTTTTTATTTGGGAGTTTTTCATGTAAATTATGTTGTTATTTTCTCCATCTTTGCATTTTCTGGCTTCTAAATCATAAATTCTTTGGACAAGGACACTATGGAAAAATCAGGAACTGATTTCAATTTCCATGACTAAGAAACTTGTGGAGTCTCAAAAGGGACAAAAACATTCCTTGTGTGCTTATCTTTTACAGACATTTTGAACTAAAGGCTTAAATGAATAATGCTTGTGGTATCCCGGACATGATCCTCAATTCTTAAGGACTTGATTGACATCTTCTTTTAACTACGACCTATGAAAATATTAGTTGTAACTCGTATACCTACCTCAATTAGTATTAGAGCTAGATATCTCATGTTCAATTCACTTTGGGAGAAAAGAATGATGTCAGAATAAGAGCGTTGACCTATCTCGTAAAGAACTCTCGAAACAAGGCCCAAACCAAGCATAGTATAGGGAAAATATCCTAATCTTTTCGTTGCATTCATTAAGCTTCAATTAGTTAGTATATCATATCTATGATTTTTGTCCGAATATTATGTTAGCATGGGAAAAATATTTTTTCTATTTTTTATATATGTTATTTATTTTGCTTATTTAAAAATGTGAATAAAGTCTTCTTACTTTCTCTTTGCACATTATTTTGATAACTAATGACAAAATTACAACGAAAAATAATTGACATAAATGCAAAAATGAATAAACCTGAAGACATCATTGCAATTATATTATGATGATGTTAAAATATATGTAATGTTAAATTCAAAAGTCATATAAATTATTATAATGTCACTAAATGACTCGTAGCTAAGTTTTTAATTAACAATTGAATCAGAAGCTTATATCATCCCAATTGTGCCACCATGTCTCGATAGAGAAGATGGTATAGTTTTATCAGTTATAGTTCAACTAATGCCCCGCAAAACGAGCTTGCTCTCTTTTCCAGAACGGTATGCTTGAGTGGATAAAGCTACTCAAACAGGGGAATTGGACATGATTAGATGATATGTGCTACCATGTGTCTCCCCCCTTCCAAACTATTCAACAAATATTTAACACGTGTACCATGTTTTTAAATCCCATTATCGACCCTATTTAGGTAGCAAGATTGGTGCTTGAACCGAGTTATCAAGCTTGATGTTGAGAGCTATAATATTTGATCGTACTTGCCTAACTTGCATGTACTTTAATTCATCTTCAACCACGTATAGATAATAAAGTTTTCTAGAATTATCACATACTCGTGCAGGCATTTCTTTTACTTACTAGGCTCATGTTTAGAGTAGTTAAATATCACATTTTAGTAAATTTTGATAAAAGTTAATGAAATGTGTAATTTAAAAATTGATAAAAATTGTGAATCTGATCAAATGTAATGAAAATAAGTATTGATTTTGATTTAAAATTTTATCCAATTTTTAAGCTACTTCAAACAGGGTACATAAAATGAAATGGGTACACATGGGAAGATGAAAGGGATTCACTTGTAGGCAGTGGCAGATGCAAACATTTTAAGTTAGTGGGGGCACAATCAAACTTGTTAAAAAGGTGATGAAAGAATTTAAATATTCGATATCTTATTACAATTGTTCCATATGAGTTATCATACTTTCATACCTTTCCAAAATACAAGTTTAAAGATAATGTTCGAAGCCACACATTTTCACACATAAACAAATTTTCATTTATATTGCTAAAATCAACAATTAGTAGTAAATAAAAAAAAAATTCTAATATACTTAGTTCAACAAATTCACTGAAGATTCACAAATCAAAAATTAAAAGGTCGGATGAGAAACCTAAGTACTTCTTTTTTAGAGAGATGTAGCGAACGTTAAAATATTCACTTGGAGGAAGTGGAAATACTATAGATTCTTCCACCAATGCCAAGACAAAAGACGAACTATGCAAAGACACGGAACCTCAATTCAAGCAACGATACTGATACTCTTTGCATGGTAGGCCAAAAAGGGGGAAAAAAGACCCATGAAGAGTCCGTTTCATGGAGAAACAGGAGTCTGACATAATTATGGAGGCAAAAGGGGCTTCTTTCTGTGAGGTTAAAGAATGTAACAGCGATTGTGAGCCCAAAACGCGAAAAATTCCCGAAAACCTTTGGGCTAATACTCTCATTTTCTGGCAACGCTCAAGAAGGGATTAGAGAAGGGAAGGCAGACGAATTGTTTTCCTTTTCAATTTTTTGGTGTTTGGTTTGTAATGGGTTTTCACTTTTCCGTTTCTGTTTTCAATGTTTTGTAATTACTGGGATTGAGCGTTGGGAGTTGGGGTGTAGCCATTTTATCTACCCAAAATTAATTATTCGAACGTTGCCACCTACTTATTTGACAACCCCTGCATAATTATACTTATAAGTACATCATTTTTTTCTCTTTCCCTCACAGTGCCCCTCCCACTTGCCACTCACTTGTCTGACAACCCTATGCATGCATTAAAAGGTACATAAATTTTTATCTTTCCCTGTCACCCACTTTTCTGACAACCCCATGCATAAAAAAGTACATAATTTTTTCTTTCTTTCCCTCACAATGCCCCTCCCACTGA